CCAAAATGAAGGTCAGATTACACCACTCCCTCCTGCCCCGAGTAATTCCTCCAGTGGCTCCTTTGATCTACCAGACCCCTACGCCAACCCACTGCTTCCGGTCCTTGTCCCTCCCTCGTGATACACTAACCATTCTGACCTGCTTTCTAAATGTCAAACTGGGCTTCTTCCCTCGTCCTGGTCTTCTTGTCCTCCTGCCTAGAGCAATCTGTTTCTAGTTTTTACTTGGCTGCTTGCTTCTGCCCAAATAAGCCCCCTTCGGAGAAACCTGCAGACCACACTCTTTAACATCCTGCTGCTCACACTGCCTTCCACCACATCTTACCATCTAGTTTCCCTTTAGTACTTATCACCACCTAAAATGCATCAATTCTGTACTTTGTTGTTACCACTGCGCCTAGAACACGATCTCTCTGAGTTCAGGAATCTTCTCCAGCCCTGAGATATACCAGTGCGTAGTGTTTACTGTCTTTCACCAAATATTATCAATCAGCTGTTTACTTTGTGTTCAAAGTATTTTATCCTGTCTTAGCGGAAATTGGACCAATCTTACCTTGCTCTCTCCAGCACTGGACCATGCAATAATGTATGTGACATACAAATGTCCTTATTTTCAATGCTTCATGAATAATTTTTAAAACTTTGGTTCTTAGTTACAAAATTAACCTAGTATTCAAGGAAAGAACATGGAGCTTAAGAATACAAAACTGGGATGAAAAGGAGAGGCGATGAAAACAAAAAAGAGATCCAGAACTCAAGTCTTTTCCAGAATGAGCAAATCCTTTTCCTACCAGACCCCTAGGAAGGAGCATTGCTCCATTCTTTCTGAAAACATAAATATTAGTGTTAGTCCCTAAGATTAGTGACTTTCTGTTCTCTCTCTTCACTCACTGCAAACTTTGCTGTATCAAGAAACACAGAAAGCTTGGAAGACCATTTCTGATTTGGAAATATCCTTGAGGCATTATGACTAGACCTTGGGCAAGTTATGCAACCTCATTTCACCGAGGCTTATTTTCCTCATCTGAAAATAAGGTAGTTACATTTGATGCTGATATCTGACTGTCCCTGTGCAAGGCTGGAATGACTCAGACAACCCAATGTCTGTGTACGTGCTTTGGGACCTGTCAGCCAACACACAAGCTGACTGCTCTCTATACAATCATAGTTGTGAGAGAGATAGAAAGATACCTTATAATGACTAGGGGTGGAAATCTATACCAACCATCACATGAGTCTACAAAGAACATTCCCCAAATGATGAACCTTTAGAGAGAAATGGAGAAGCTATCAGACCTTCTAGAGGGCTAGGAACCAGAACTTGGTCTAGAAAGTTGTGTTTTGTATGTTTGTGTTTCTTTTTTGATGGAGTACATGTGTTTTGTTTTGTTTTCTGAGACAGTAGGTATTGCATCCAAGACCTTGACACTGAATTACACCCCAAGCTCTTTTTAAAAATTCTTTGTTCAGAGACAGTGTCTCATTAAGTCACTAAATTGCCCAGGCTGGGCTTAAATTTATGATCCTTTTGGTTCAGCCTCCCAGAGTGCTGGAATTATGGGTTCTAGAAAATTTTTGTAGGGAGGACAAGGGTTAAACCAAGGGCCATCATTTAGCACACAGAAAGGGATGAGTGACGAAGTGGAAGGAACCTCTGTCCAGAGGTCAGAGAGGTAAGCAGGTGCAGCAGAAGCAGGTGCAGGGAATGCCAGGCAGGTTCTTGTGTGCAACACCCTGGGATGTAGCAAGAAATGAGATGAAGTAACTAAGAGAGCCTCAAAACCGCTGACTAGAAGACCAAGTCCTGATCCGGAGGCAGGTAAGGGTGTGGTGAAAAGAATATCCCAGGACACTGAAAGTGCAAAGTTTTTTCAAATCAACAGAAAAGGCAGTTCTGGCATCGGGTGAGGTGAGGGCAGATGGATCCCCAGTGCATGCAGTAAGTCATACTACTTCAGAAGAACAGGGGTCTGCTTTGGGTGTAATGTTTTATAAAGGACACTGGCCTCAAAGCTCCTGGAGGGGAGCAGAGAAGCAGGTGGAAAGCATGCCTTCCAACAGGAAAATAAATTACATCACATTTCTTGACTCTTCTGAGCAGAGCCCCTTTGGAAGGTGCACTTTTCCACTGTGGAAATCTGTGTGGAGGCTCCTGAGAAAACTAGGACTAGAGGTTGCGTTTGACCCAGCTATTTCCCTTCTTGGTATTTTCCTCAAAGAATTAAAAGCATCGTACCACAGAATATATGCACACTCATGTTTACAGCAGCACAGTTTATAATAGCTAAATCCTGGAAACAGCCCCAATGTCCATCAGCTGATGAATGGAAAAGAATATGTTGTTTTCTTATACAATGGAGTACTACTCTGCCATAAAGAAGGATAAGTTCGCGATACTTATAGTTAAATGGATGCACCTTCAGACCATACTCTTAAGTGAAATAAATTGAACACACATGTGTAAATACTGAATTGTTTCTCTGGGGTGAGAAACCAAAAATGTAAATAAGGACCAAAATGTATAATAGATATGAAATGTGAAGAATGTGTTTGAATGAGAAGGGGAACTAGAGAGAGGGTAAGGGGAAAGGAAGGAAGGGAGAAGAAAATGAGACAAGAGGGAAAAAATGGAAGCAAAGGTTTTGTAAATAAAGAGGAGAAGAGGGGTTGATGAGAAGAAAGGGGAATGGGAAAGGAAAGCATGAAGATGTATAGTGTATAGACACAAATTCCCTATGCTGGATGTGATCATTCTGTAGAGCTAAAATGTATCAATAAAGTTAACTAATTGAGAAAGGAGATTCCAGCAGATTGAGAACCTAAGAGGGAGATGAAAAAGCCCACTTACCTGGAAGCTAGTAGGTTTGGATCAGGCTCCCATGGCCCCCAGCTTGTGGGCACATTGCTTAATTTCTGAGACCTTAGTGAATAGATGAGTTTAAAAATTCCTTAGAGTAAAGAATTCCTAAAACACTCACATAAGTAGCTAGTGGCAGAAACACTGGAAACTATCTACTGATTTAAATCTAGCGGCTACTTAAATCACCGGAAATACTGATTAATTTTCCTCATTTGGACTCACTCAAAGACGTGAAATGGAGTGGCAGAAATGGAAGGAGTTTGCCAGTAGAAGAAACCAGGTCAAATAACAAATGCTTGACTGTGTAGGGAAGGCCTTTCATCGGAGATCGTACTGCTTTCACAGATGTAAAAATTCACACAAAGCATGGCTGAGAGGGATGACTGAAGAGAAGGCAGACTGGAAGAAAACTCTCTCCTACTGTGTCCAACAGAACCTCAGGGTTTTGGGGAGACTAAAGCTAGTCTTTATTCAGTGCAGGAGAGAGCAGAGAGAGAGAGAGAGAGAGAGAGAGAGAGAGAAAGAGAGAGAGAGAGAGATTCCATTGAGAACATCCCCTTAAAGCCTCATGACCTCAGAGGCAAGGGTTGGAAGGTCATTGGATCACACGAGTGCTGGGCTCATGGCGAGTTAATCCCCCAGGTCCTCCCGCACTGTCTGCTTTCTGTGATGTAAGCTGCTCTCCTCCACTTCCACCAGCAGACTATGGACTAAAACCGTGAGCCAAAATGAAGCTTGCCTCTAAATTGTCGGTATCATGTATTTGTTCCAGCCATGAGAAAGTATCTAAGATAGAGTCAAATAATTGGGGAAGTGATTATTTGGCAAAATAATGGAGCTTTCTTTGTTACAGGAGTTCTTAGCGCCTTTCATGTATCCTAAGGTTCTATGACTCAATAAGAACCCCATACAAAGCAATTTCTTTTCTTTCTTTAAAACATGACATGACCTCCTTCGTCACAGTACTACCATCTCCTCCTACAAACATTTTAGTGTATGTAGTGTCTGTCAGACATTACAAAATCTCAGGAGAGCCTAGCCCCTAGATCAAATAGTCCCATTAGAGGCCATAAACGTATTCAATTCACCCTGAGGGAATAGAGGGAGACTCCCTAAGTAATTTTTAGGTGTAACTAGGCAGCTACTAATTGTCAGTTGCTAAGGTGCATACCAAAACTCACTCTCAGAAGATTTTGAGATCCTCAAAATATAAAAGTTATACACATAAAAAATTAATAAAAAATAAGTGCTCTGTTTTTGGTAGTAGGAATGGAACCCATGGACTCTGTATTGAGCTACTTCCCAAGCCCCCCACCCTTTTAATTTTTATTTTGAGACATAGTCTCTCTAGGTTGCTCAGGCTGAGCTCCAACTTGCAGTCTTCCTTCCTCAGCCTCCCAGTGCTGTGATTATTGGGGACCACAGTGTCCAGTGTGTGAAGAATCTTCTCTGTGCTAAGTGTTAGAAAGTATGGCAAGGGCTGTAGGGATCTCAGGGGCCTGAGTGGAATTCACTTTGGGCATGAGAAGGGCCTTCCACAGCAGGGGCCTTGGCACTGTCCTGGGCAAGATGGGCAGGCCCAGTGGATAGGAAGAGTTGGGCATTTTATGGCAAAGCTGCTGGGGCACACAATGAGGAGGTCAGTCCTCCGATGAAGGTTCCCAAGCAATGAAGGAGAAAGCTGGACAGCCAAGGAGGTGGTTGTGGGTTGCACAGAGCTTGTACACGAAACCAGGACTGAGCCCTGCCATGGAAAAGTGGGTCATTATGTGGCTATCAGTTTGGGGCAAGCATGGGGTGTGATCACAAAATTGTCATTATGTTAGTGTCACAGGGACAGACCAAAGATGCTAAGTATTGGCTCCATGTCAAGACCATTTTTTTTTTTTTTTATTTCTGGAGTCAGGATTTATAGATGACCCTCTGTTTTATGTGTATTTTATTTTATTTTATTTTATTTTATTTTATTTCTGCAGTGATCATACCAATGGCCTCCCAACAGTTGATCCTCTGAATTCACAGATTCCATATCATAGATTTAACAAACCACAGTTTATAAAGAAATTTGCATCTGTTTTCTCATTATTTCTTAAAGCATAAAATATACTAGCTATGTACAAAGCATTTACATTGCCATAGGTATTATAAACATTCTATAAGGGATTTAAAGTGCACATGAGAGGATGGGATGCAGGTGAGTGGTAGAGTACTTGTCTTGCTAGACACCCTGGGTTAAGTCCCCAGCACAGAAAGAAAAAGAAAGAAAAGAAAAGAAAGAAAGGGAGAGGGGCAATAGATGCAAATACTCTCTTTAAAATGAAGTACTTCAGCATTCTCAAATTTTGGTGTCCATAGGACTCCTTGGAATCAACCTCCACATGACTATGTTCCATGCCCAGAAGGAATTTAGGGGCAGGAGTGAACAGAGCATTACTATCTTTTCTCTTCTTTTAACAGGTAAAACGAAGAGTTTGCTGGACTATTTTGAGCCTCCTACCAGTGGATACCAGTGATGGAGGACACAGACGTGTTCTGATCAGAAGTCCAGATATTCTGCTTGGCCAACTCAAAGCACTACGTAAACATACTAAAAATAATATAATAAACTTATAGAACCAGGAAAGACAAGCCGTGGGTGGAAGAGATTTAAAGCACTTTCTTCTTCACTTTGGAGCTTTCTTTGAATTTCAGTCATAAAGAACCACTGACATATCTATGGGAAAGGGCCTCAAAGGAAGCTTGATAGTGAGATTCCCCTTCCGGAGAATTTTTACTTAAAGGCTGAACACTCAGAGCCTTCCTTCATCCTGCAGTCCAGACCAAAAGAGTGGCCAATAGCAATGTGACGAGGGCCCAAGCCTTTATTTCACTGAGTACACCCTGCAGGGCCTCTGGAGGCATTTCAGCAGGTCATTCTGAAGCCAAGGAATGGATGCAGAAATGGAGCAGAGAAGCAAAGCTATAGAGAAACTGGTCCTAAGCAATCCCCACCTCAGCTGTCCCCATCCTGGCCTGTACCGGTTGGCCTCACCTACCACCTGTCTATGACAGCCACAGGACAAGGAAGGAGTAAATTTGGTTCACAGACTCTTTCACTTGAGGAGATGGGGCAGAAAGGTGGGCATCTGAGGGACCAAAGGGCCTCGGTTTAGGTCCCTCAGTTATTAGTTCAATGCACAAGTTGAGTATCCCTTGTTCACTAAGTTTTGGACCAGAAATACCTCAGATATCAATTATTTTTAAATTTTACCATATTTGTATATTCATAATGAAATATCTTAAGGATGGGACACAAATCTAAACAAGATATTTATTTGTGTTCTATGTACACCCAATACACATAGCCTGAAGGTTATATGATGTGTTAAATATTATATATGATGTGTTAAAATAATCTTGTACATGAAACAAAGTTTCACGACATGAAATTTTCTACTTGTTGCATCACGCTGGCCCTTAGAAAGCCTTGGAGTATGGATCATTTCAGATTCCAGATCTTCGGATTGGAGATGGTCAACCTGTGTTTACAAAGGTTACATTAGAAAGATCATTTTCCTATGAATATCACTAAGTGTTCTACATTGCTTCCAGTGCCATGCATCCATCCTGGAAATGTTTCTCCTTCACAACTTGTATTTAAATTTTGAAAGTCCGGGCTCTCTGTACTTTAATTAACCTATGACTTAAAGAGGTCGTTATACCGGCCTATCCAGTTAGCAATAAAAGAAGCAACACAAAACTGCAATTGCTGGAAAAGTAAAATATCAGGCATTCCAAAATTATTTTCCAGGCGCCTCTGCTGACCTTCCAGCAAACCTCCAGTTTCCACTGAGCACTAGTTAAAAACCACGGCTGTGCTGGCTTCCAACCACGCGTTCCTACATATATAGCCAGCCTCCCGCCCACAGAGCTCAGCAATTCTGGCGGAGGCCGGAGCTTATGAGTGAATACAATTGGAGGCATGCTAAATAAAATGAAGTTCACTGCGATAGGATCAGGAGACAAACACGCAGTTCTCACTCTCCCCTTTTTAAATGCAACTGCTTTCATCCCTCTTCTGTTCAAAGAGAAGCTTGAGAATCCAGAGCACAATTTTTCATGGGCTTTGCTTACTCTGAATAATGTAATCATTCCAGCCCTGCCCTAGATGACAGTGTAGGAGAACAACAACCAATCCCATCACCAGCCCTGCCAGGTTCATCCCACCAGAGCCTGAGCCTCCCCAGACAGCTCACTTACAGAAAAATACCATCAAGTGCTCTCCAAGGAGCTGCCTCCCAGGGAATAGTGATGTCACTGTTTCAAGGAGAAAGAAATTCACCTTGAGCTGCAATAAACAGGCATGGCCTACATGGTGTCCCGCGCCTGATTGCATGCAGTGAAAAATAAATCCTGGCTGTCCAGCATCCGTCTGCTAATCTATCTGTGTTGGAACAAGGAGGCAGGCAAGATGATGTCGAATAGTTACTGCACACGGCATTCGTCTTCCTGCGATGATGAAGCGAGAGACAAAATATTCAGTCTGTTAGAAACCTGCAAACCAGGGGAGAAAAGTAGAAGCTCATTATCATTTCAAAAGCTGAGCAGGGGTTTGAGCAGGGAACAGAGGAAACAGACATGAGAACACAAGGACACATGTCCTCCCTGTAAGAGCTTGACAGAGCAAAATAAATCAGCCTCATTTGAAGATACAAAGCAGTACCCACGGGGAGGGGAGTGGTAGAGTGTGCTTGCTCTCCCTGAAGTTTCCGAAGCATCTTCGAGGTTAGTCAACCAGGGAAGAAGCCAGATGAAAGATGATCGGGACTGGAGTGACCGCCAGGATGCGAAGGAGCCCTCCTGTGTAGAGTGTGTGGTCAGAACACAAGCAGCTTGTGTGCCAGAGCAGGGCAACAGGCTTTGACCCCTCACAGTCCTCCCTGATCATACCTAGGCTATGGCCTTGCTGGAAAGTGGGTCAGGGGAGCATATGGTATGGAAGTGGATATGTGTTGCCATCTGGGAGATCCAATGTGATAGAGCCAGTGTACAAAGAGAGAAAATCATGAAGGTGAATGCAGAAGAGCACAAGGAAGGGAGGCCTGCAAACTAGCCCCTGCTACAGTGGGGAACGACGGCCAGGGTGACTGAATGATTTACTGAGTGGTTTACTGCCTGACTGAGTGATTTACTGTCCACACGGGGACACATTGGGGTCCTATTCTGCCTGTACAATTGAAGTGAACTGGCAAGGTAGGATGGAGGGCTATTCTGGTTATGATCTAGGAGAGGAGAGAAAATGGGAGTGAATTCACATTGGCCCTTCTTTCTCTGAGAGACACCTATGCCTTCTTCTCCATACAACTCCACTAGCCTGCTCAGATTCGGCAGCATCTGGGGTCAAGATGAGGGCTCTTGTGCCAGTGGCGTCACACCAAAGGAACTGAATGGACTGGACCACAGGAGTGTGGGTTTGAGTCCAGACTCTGGCACTTTTTAAAATTTATAGACATAGTCATATTCGCCCTAAATTGGAAATAACCCAAATATTCCTTAATGAGTGACTATAAAAAAAAAAAAACCTGTGGTATAATCATACAAAATACCACAGAAACAACACAGATGTATCTCAAAGACAGTATGCTGAGTGAAAGAAGGCCATTTTCAAGTTACATCCTGTATGACTCTATTTATGCGATGTTCTGGAAAAGGCAGAGGTATAGAGACAGAGAACGGATAAGTACATATCTAAGATTGCAGTGGGAAAGCGTGCCTGGATTTGGGTAGGGGACAGAACTGCTCTGACTCTGGCAGTGGATACATGAATCCACACATGTATATAACTCACAGAACTGCACGTCCAAGACAGTTAATTACATGTTAATTTAGAATTTAAAAACTTAAAAATTACATCCAACAAAGTTTCTTTTTTAAATGTCTTCAAAGAAACTTCCTACCTGGATCTCTGTCAGGGGGCTGGGGGGCTCAGCCCCAGCACCCCTGGAACAGCGATTTGCCTTCTTCTCCTGACTCCTCTACACTGGGCCCCTGGGTGCTCCCGGCAGGTGGAGTGTGGCTAGGTTTGGAGAGGAAGGATGTCTGGCTTCTGCTGGGCTCTGGACTCACAGCTCAGCGTGAAACTGTCAAGCACTGCTCTTGTTCTTGCTTGTTTTTCTCCTATGTCATCTCAGAAGCTTCGCATTACAATAGTTGGTCTTGAGCCAAATCCTGGCACTGAGGGGTCTGAAACAAACCTGAGCTCCAGGGCCTGGGTGGCACCCTCTCATTCATCCCTGTGACGCATCTCCCCGTGGATCCGTCAGAGTGGGCTGCTGGCTCGAATGGTCAGCAATTCTGAACAAGGATTTAGGGGAGAGCTGGAATCGTGCTCTTGCCTCAGAAGCCCTCGTCACTCTGGATTAGACACGTGAGAACTCTAAAGAGGCTCCTAAGCCCAGGTGTCTTCTGAGGCAGGATGTAAACGCTTTTTCCTCACAGCAGGTGGCTTTCTAGGAAAGCACTTTGTCAACAGTAAAGGCCTGCGCACAGACAGGAGACACGTCTTCATGAGGTAACTGTGCTGAGCTGGGAGCAACAGGGCCAAAGAACATACCTTCAAGATGAAAGCTTCCTTTGCACTAAGCACGCACCGCGTGCCAGGCACTGTGCTATGCAATTGTTCTGTCTTCACAAATGAGGACACAGAGGCTCCCAGAGGCACCAGGTCGCAAAAAGAGGAGGAGACAGAGCTAGGCCATGGTCTGCAGCTCCCGCTTTCCAAGCCAATGACCGTGAGAGGAGCCCTTGACACCCTGCATCAGGCCTGCTGTTCTCGTGAGCCCCAGAGAAAGGAATTAACACTGCTTTTCTTCAAAGGATGGAGAAGTGCCAAGGGCTTTTTAAAACCTTGTCTTGTATGATAGCACTCAAAAAAAAAAAAAAAAAAAAAAAAGACACCGTTTTTTTCTGAATTTTATACAGTGAAATGCTTTCTTTGAATACTATATTTTACCTAAGTCCCATCTAGAAAATTTGAATTGGGCCACTATGATGAAGGTGGATGTGGGGTCACGTGAGGCCCCCAGGTTCCAGGGAACGGTGGAAGCCGTTTACCCAGTAGGGTGGCACTTACTCCAAGAAGCGCAGGGTGCACCATGGTGCTCGAGGCTCCAGCTGATGTGGAGTGAGGTGGGCTTGTGGCAGATGCCTTTCTGCATTGGTCAGTCTGGGTGTGGGCTGCAGGATTCTGGGCCTGCTTCAAGCATTGGGCCCTGGTCTCTTGATCTAGGGTATCACCCACCTCAACCCACCTTTGGCCACCTTTGGCAGTCATTAGCACATAACCCTCACAGGTGGAAAACTTATCTTCTCTTACATTGGTGAGTTTAATCTTTAAAGATTCGGACTTCAAGGTTAGAAGCTGTGGCAGCCTTTCTTTTTCCTTGCCCTTATAAAAGGCATCATCTGGTTCGTTCCTGTATCAACAAAAGTAGAATATTCAAGTTCAGATCGTGGAATAGAGCCAGTAACAGATCTGCACTGCTGACCGCAGCGCGGAGGCTGACAGAGAGGCTCGCAGTGGAATTACCAAGTGAACCTCTCTTAGATGCCCGGGATTGCTTCCATGGGAAAGGGACCATGTGCATGGTATTCTTGCCAAACAGCTGGAACTCATAGTGGATAAACTGCTCTGAAAAGTCATCATTGAGTAGGATGATGGGCTGGCAGGACTTGGTCCATGTGTGGGCATCCACCAGGGACATGGCTTGATGCTTCATGAGGTAGGCAAGACACGGGGCAGCTGAGCGGCTCATGCCAGCAGCACAGTGCAGTAACGTGTGGCCCTCTTTCATTGCCACTGAATGGATGTGGTCAGCAATGGGGTCAAAGAGGTCAGAGAGATAGGCGACCGGTGCATCAGGAATAGGCATCTGCATGTACTGGGTGTTCTCATGCAACACACCGATGACTGGTGATCTTCTCCTACTGAGAAGCAGGAGCTTGTTGGCAGCCACCCCACTGAAGATACTCAGGATTCTGGTGCTCTAGGAGAGACCACCAGAACTGTGTCAGGAAGGCATGAGTGGGTGATGTCATCAAAGCAGTGGGGCAGCAGTTGGAGATCCCCGAGGCCTCTGTCTCTTTTCTAGGCTGTATCCACAGGAAGCTCTCCAGGGCAAATGGCAGTCTCCAAAGGGAAGCCAAGCTTTATTCTGCTGCTTAATATGTATCAGCAGCTGCCCTCGTCAAGATAAGACAGCGCTTGTCTGTCAAGTCTATCTTTTGCCTTTCTCCAGAGCAGAACAGAGGGGTTTGTTCAGGCAGCAGCAGCATGGTGAAGCCCCAGGCAAGGGTCTCAGGCCAGACAGATCAGTCAGAATCCCTGCGCTAGGATCGTCAAGGGCCCAACACTGTGAGTTCTCCTCCCGGGGATAAGTGGTCGATACTGGACTGGATCTTCAGTCAAATCAGGCCAGAGCCATTGCTGACTTCCAGAAGGGTCCACCTAGCTCCCAGACACTGGCAATTTCTTCACTCACTGAGCCCCATTTTTCTCACATCTAAAATGAAGTGACAGCACGATGAGCTTCAGGGAGCAAATGTACACCTACCAATGTGAACACAGCTTGCCTGGTGCCAAGCACATTCACATTAGACGTGATTTGCCTTCGTTGACAGATATCATTGCTTTCAGAGAACATTTTCCAAATACGCTAATGATTGGCATATGATTTTTGACCCTCCACCTTCTTTTATGCGTTATAGTTGGAACTACTGTAAGAATCACGACGAGTATAATCTTGAGCCTAATGCTGTCCTTGTTGATGCCTTAGAGATTTTGTGGCCAAATTACTCCACAATTAGGTGTGTGAGTACAAACTCTGAAGAGTAATGCAGAGAAAAATAACGCAAAGTAGTCTGGGAAAGAGTCACAGGGTGAACCTATCTTAGAGTAGATATTCCTGTCCTAAGAAGGCCTCATGGAGAAGGTAGCACCTATGTATTGCATCTCAAATCTGGTGAGAAGTGGGTAACGGGTTCCCAGGGAAAGGAGAATTGCAGGTGTAAAGATCCTGGCCCAGGTGGAGTCTTAGCATCTTCCTGGAAGAAGATGAAAGAGGAAGAAGTGAAGTAAGGCAGAGGTCAGAAACAGGAAGCAGGAAGTGAGGTAAGACAGGCCAGAGAACTAACCCAAAGTGAAGTTTCAGCAGTTTCCATGGCCACATCACCGAGCACCTCAATAATAACTGATTGGATACATATTTATTGTGTGCCAGTGATGTGCTCCTCTAGGCACCATGTGCTTCAGTTTAATAAACAGCAATAAAGCCCCACGGAAGGGTTTCAAGCTCCGAAGAAGCATGAAATTCTGGCTGCTGAGTGGAAAACCAGTGTGTGCTGAAGGAATAAAATCAGCCCTTCTAGCTGTCATTCAGGAAGGAGTGAACAGCATCTTGGAGTAGGGTAGGCTTGCTGAGTGGAGAAGCGCACAGACTGAAGACCATCTTTGGAGACGGGGCTGGTGGCACTTGGTGAGGCTGGTGTGGGAGACACAAAGAGAAACATCAGAAATAGTTCTATGCTGAGATGTACAGCTCAGACAAACAAGGACTGGGCAAGGACTGGACTCAGGAGGAAAATTCACACATTGCTTGGCTATGTAAATTTTCATGTCTTTGTCAGAGAATCAAGTGAGATAACTCAAACGCATATGAATCTGAAGTCCAGGAAAAAGAGAAGAGGCTTGGAAACACATCATCAGGAGTAATGGAAATGTATATGTGGTTTAAAAATTGGGATAAATGAAATCATGTGGAAACCCTGGAGAAAGATAAGAGGGTAAAACGTGTTAAAAATAGTCATTTCCCCATTTCTTTACTAGCCTTAAGAATTATCATAAAATACTAATAATAACAACAACAATAATAATAATACAAAGTTTATCTTTGGCTAAAAGAAATATCTTGCTGCTGGCCACTTGATTATCACCTGCCTGTATAAAGCCTTTCCCCGTATCTCTGTTAGGTTAGTATTATATTTTAATTAATTTAGAATCTCTGTATTTTAAGAGCGCAAAATATTTCCTACTTCTTTTGCACACAGTTCTGTGTATCATTTATCTTTTAAAATTCTTTGTAAGGTTGGGTTTCTCTCCCTTTTTTAAGCAATGGTGATTTTTTAGAGATAGACTTTTTGTCATGGTTTTGCTTTTGGTACACTGTTTTAAAAGGCTTTGTCGCAAGGTTGTAGAGCAAAAATATAGCAACCCAGAAGTTTATTACGGCACTATTCATAATAGCATTTTTTTAAAAACTACAAATAGCCCAAAGATATATCAATAATTGACTTATTAAATATGTGACATTACTGAATAGAGTGATTTTTCAGCCATTTAAAATGATGTACCTCAATCACTGACATTGAAGGATCACTACTACTTATTTAGTGAAAAAGAATAAGATATTGTTATTGGATGACTCTCTCTTAATAAACTGTTTTATATGAACAACAATATTTCCTTTTCCTGTTTCTATTATAAGCCAATGTTATTTTATATATCTTATCTCCCAATTAGCTCTGTAGCATGAATATTCTCTTCACATGTTCCCAATTTAATAAAATAATTCATTAGTTAATTAAATTTTATACACTTAATAAGTGGTCTTTTGTGATTTCTAAAACACATACCACTACTAATGATGGCTAATATTTATTTACCACATACTATACCCCAGAATCTGTCACAGGCGTATATCAATTTAATAAGGTGGAGAGCTAGTGAAACATATTTCAAGGATTTTATAATGAAGTTATCACTGCCTTTCACCTAATTGGCAAGTCAGAAATTTGGCTGGTGACTGCTGTTCATAAATTGTTCCCAGTTCTCTTCCTGGAGGCCAGCAGGCTGGAGCTTTCCTCCAGTTCATGGCCATGGGCAAACATTCGAAGCAACCCAATATTGACTCTGACAGCTTCCCACCTGCCTATTTGCTTGCTGCTCCCCACATTTCTAGAAGCACAATCAGCTAACCACCTGCAAACCTGGATTCTGTGATTCGCCCACCCCTCCTTGCTCCTCTCACCTCCCAGTTCTCGTCAAATCCTCCTCCACCAGCAGGGATAAAGCACATTCCCTACGCACACTTGCTTACATCTAGGAAGCATGAGGGAGACCATGGGAGTAAATTATTTTTTTCTGAAGTAGTCAAAGCTGACCATCTGCTGGCCTTCCTAGAGTTAAATCAAGAGTAATATTATTTGCATTGAAAATAAAATTAAGATGAGAAGCGGAGGAAACTCTAAACCCAGTGACTCTCATTGGAGAGTGTAGTTTGGCTAAATGAAGTGGAAAAAAAAATCCTTGCATATACCTTGGACACTCCTGCTTTTGCTAATGGAGTACCTGGAGGTGGACAGATGAATGCAGGTATGTGGGGACCAAAGTATAGAAAGAGGTCTCCACCTCTCAGGATGCTCTTGATTTCCTTCTTTTCCTGTGCTTCAAAACCCACGGGTCCTCTAAGTCTCTGCTTCTGGTCCCACTTTGCTTTATTTTGAGGCTATTTTCTCCGTGTCAATGGCCGTGAAGTTCTGGCAGTAGAAAAGTGTTCCCAGGAGTGAGGGTGCCTTGTGTCTGAAGGGACTTCTCCGGGGGGAAGGTCAGGGCAACGTACGGCACAAGGCATCCCAAACCATTTCACTCCTCTGTACCCTGCACCAACCTCACATTTCCTGTCTCCAAAGAGTCTCACCAGATCCTAAACTGGCCAAGACTTGAGAAAACTGAGAAACCACACTGTCTTGGTCCAAAGAAACAGACACACAGGGCTTACATTTTTCTCTTCCATTAGCTTTCAAGTATTTTAATGCATACCAGACTTCTCTATTTGTTCCTAGGGGAGGATATTTGAGTGTTCCGTGGCTCGTTTTATTCTTAATATTTAAAAACCTTTTCCCTCAATGAGGCATAGCCATAATTACATTTGTATGAAGTAGGCTGTGTTTGGTTACTTGGACTGTTTTTGAATGTGGTGATAAAAATTAGCTGCCTGCTCCTTTTGTAAGGTGCCTGTTTCTCTTTTGAAAAATTCATTAAGACCTGAAAGTTTTGAAGCCATCCCGAATTCTAAAATGCATGAATACCAATGCATAACAGCTTATAAGAAGCTATTAAAGCAGGTATGTATAGGTATATACAAAGGAAAACTCGTGTGCAGCAGAAAGGACATTCAAATTGCTCCATCTAACCACAAAGAAGAACAAATCATCCCCAAAGTATAAAACGGTTTAAAGACAAGGAATTGAGAACTAAATTTGAAGCTGACATCTTGACAGCCCCATGACCTAGTTTCAGGCACACAGTTCCACGAAAGTGACAGATGACGGGAAAGAAGGAAAGGTGGGCTGCAGGAGCCAGAGCAAAAGAGCAGGAGAAAGACAGTGAAGAGGTAGAGTGAGCAAAGACATAAAAAAATAAAACAAGTAGGAAAAGAAATAAGAGGAGAGGGACACAAAAGGAATTAAAATGTTTACCAACTCTTCGTGCTGTAATCACTGTGTACTGGAATTGTACTAATAAAAATAAAAGTTAAAAGAAAGAAATGCTACAGCAGAATAGAACAGGTAGACTGATTCCCCTAAAGTTGCTGTTTGGTAGTCACTCGGCACATCAAACAATTATAAATTTGAATACTTTCAGATTTAGAAATATAAATGTATTTTTTTCAGTGCAAGAGTGATCCATATTCTATCTACTAAAGCTAAAATGCAATGAACACAGAAAGAGTGAAAATGATTTTTTAGATGTATCCACTTCTTATGGGGCTCATATCAGGAATACAAAAAAATATCTAATAATGTCTTGGAATTTCTGTCTGTGGGTGTAGACATAATGTTGGAGAAGATTAATTTCCCAGGAAATTTATTTGGAGCTTGTGGTTAATGGATCTTCTTAAAATATATGCCTTTCTTTTGACAAGGAAAGTATCTTAAATTTCTCTCCTTAATTGCAGTGTCTCTGAGTTTGAAAGATAACATCAGGGACCCAACAAACCGAAGGAAAGAGAGAACAGACAGTTCCAGCCAGGGTTTCAGCTTTTGGGTCTATCCGGATCTCTGCTACCTTGAGGGACTCATCAGAAAAGCATGGCTAATAGTTTATCTTCTGTTCTAAGCAGTATTTCTGCATACAGGCAAGCCCCTCATGGTCTGCGTAAAGCACCAACCAACTGGATGAAAACTGAAGCATGTGCTCTTTGGAGTATTTCTAAAACACCTAAGTGTGTTGATATACCTGATATCAGGCTTTAATTTACTATACTCGCCTTGGTGTTAATATTGCTAGAAGGAATGCTCCAAGATGGCCAGAGAGGTCAAGAGACACGCCCTGGGGACAGAGTTTTATACTCAATGGAAAACTCAGTTAAAAGAGTTCAGACCTATGCTGTAGGATTAACTATACGCAGTTTTCTGGTACACATGCATATGTGGAGAAAATTGCTAATAGTGTGTAAGCAGATCTACTAGATGATTTTTCCATCTACTGTCATACTTTCTAATTGATAGATTCCCAGGCCCAACCCTGTGCTGTGGAGAACAATGGCAGAAATGGGTACTTTTAGAATGCCCAGGTGACTATTTTATAGATGATTGGGAGCCTCATTTCTGAGGTAGCTCTCAGCTTTGATAATGGCAAAGTTTAAAACTGAACTCCTAAAAGACGGGATTTTTCTGCCTCTCCCACCCAGAGGTCAAAAGAGTCATTTTTACTTCCGCTATGCTTCCATAGAAAGGATGTGGGGCTCAAACACGGTAGCCCAAGGCCTTCACCACAGCTCCTCCCCTGAAAAGCCCGTCAGTATTTAAGTCTTAGATTTGGCTGACAGTAGAATTGATTGCATCCCCCCGAAGAATCTGTTTGTTTCTAATTTATACAGATGCAAAAAGTCCTTTGGGGTGGGGGCCCAAGACTGTACTCTGTTCCCATCAAATATACATCTTTCATTTTTTTGGCAATAACCTCCCAGAGGCCAGTTTATAGGAAAGACTACAGTAGCTGTAAGAGTGATCTCCCCGCAAAGGTGGGAGTCTGTACAGGTGCATGAAGACCTGAGCATCATAAGGACACAGAAGAGAAAATACACCAGGTACACTGAATAGCTGGCATAGGATCCCAACCTGGCACAGACACCCTAGCATTGGGTGCCTCATGGGATGAATGATACATCGTCAGCCACTGTTCTGTCAATAGCATCATGTAGAACTTCAGCAGCATCAAGATGATCAGAGGTAAGTCCTGCCCCAGTGGTGAAAATCCTCAGCACTACCTAGGTTTTCCCTATGAGACATTAGCACCACAGATTACAGTTTCATGGGCAGATACATCCATGGACTCCAGAAGCAAAGCTGGGAGACTTCAGAAAGGATAGGAGAATGCAAAGTTCAAAAACTATAAATCAAGGGAGGAGCTGAAGCCCAGGAAAACTAGATATTAAAATCAAAGTACTTCATACTCTCAAGTAGAGAAGGTTGAATAGAA